TCAGACCCACCATCAAAAGGATTAAGAATGCACAAAGCCGAGTTTTGAAACTTCACGTTGTTGTGAAAGAACTAGAAAGAGGTATAAAATTTTGCCAGAATTTTTGTCAATTCCTTCCCACCCAATAAAATATGGGTCTTCGCTTTATTTTAGGCTAGATTTTGGAATTAAATTTTGCAATATGTTCGGGTTGAATCTTTATTTATTTAAATCACATCTTTGCCAGGAACGTCTCATATGCAATCAAGATTCACGTTTTCGTTTAAAGGCTAGTATGCGAACAATTTTCATATAGTGTAGACGGTGTCAAGACTTAGAACTCGAGGGTTTTTGCCCTATCAACCCCAACCCAAAACAATCGCACCACTGCGGGGTGGGGTGGCGTGGGGTGCGATGGGGTGAGGAGGTTGAAGAAGAAGGCGGCTGTTTAATTTCTATTTTGGTTTGGATGGGGTGGGGGGTAGGGTGGCGTGCGGGTAGAGGTGGGATGGGTGAAGAAGGGAATGAATAGTATTTTTTTTTAGTTATTTATTTTAATTATTTTATTATAGGGTTAAGTAATTTTTACCTTTTTACCCTTTTCAATTGGTCAAAAATTGGTTAATGTTTAATTTTATTGGTCAACTAACGGTCAAATGGACGGTTTCCATCCATTTGGATTTCAGGTGCAGATTTTTGAAAGGTTTGGTACCTCCAGTGGCACAAACGAAAGGTTTGGACAAAGTCTGTTAATAAACGAAAGATTTGATACCTCGGCTGCAATTTTCCCTTATTTTATAGTATAATATCTATCCAAAGCCAGCTCCCAACCCCATGCGTGTTTGTCAGGCCAGGTCATTTTCATATCTCCAACCCCACTCAACCCACTCCCAAAAGACCTTTTCTATTAGAATAAAATATCTCAAAAATATAAAATGAGTTGAGAAAAAAAAAAAGTTGTAATAAAAGTGGGAAACAAGTCGAGCTGCCTCCAGGTCGAGTTATGGGCGATTTGGGCTTATATTGAGGCGAATCATTGATTGAGTCGATCTCACCTTTCTCTATGAGCCAAGCGAGGCCTTCAAGATGGGTTCTTTCTTTTTTGACTTTATTAATTTTTTAAAAGAAATTGTTCAGTTTTAGACTTATTTTGTTAATTTTGAAAAAAAATTAGTCAAGTCGACTTGACTATGTTTATGGACTCAGAAACCAGAGGCTGAGCCGAGCATAGGATTTGAACATGAGTTGAGCTTGATTTGATCGCCACCACCCCTAATACAATTGAAGTGATATCATCTTAATCGAGTCTTTATTCTATTCAATGGTCTCCATCACCTTAAAATAAGGAAATGATCTCATACGTATATAAAAAAGAGTGATGCTATTTAATTCCATTGAGGTTATAACCCTAGTTTAGATGGTATTAATAGGACATTAAATGATAGGTGAAATTAAATAAATTATTTAATTTCACATTTTATTCAACTTATCATCTAGTGCCATTTAGACTGGAGTTGTAATTTTAATGGAGTTGCATAGGATTATTTACCGATTCATGATTTTTGACAAAATAGAATGTATCAGAACATATCAACCACAATAATTTTTAAAATTTTGAAAAAAGGTAAAACCATAGCTCTCGTTAGGTAGTAATTCTTCACTCCAAAAAATTAATTTCTTGATCGTTATTTTACTATTCTAATCGTCATTTTTAACATCTTCACTCACAGTTATGACCCATTTTTCTAAAATCAATTCAAATAATCACTACAAAACATATTTATATTAGTTGTGATATTTTAAAAGCCCTTGATGTTTTCGAAATTTGAAGCCCAGTGCAACATCGAACTTGACTATTCTGCTTCAATAATAAAATAAAAGTAAAATGTGTTTACTTTTGTCTTTTCAGAAATATTTGACATTATCGATAAATTTTTATACGTTGAGCTGAATAAGATTGAAGTGTACAAGCGTTCAATGGTGTACAACATTCTTTAAAAGTTATACCTTAGTCTAGCCCCCAGGGCATATCTCCCAGTGGCAAAGGGGAGGGCGGATAGGGCTCAGCGCGGCAGTGTGCAGAGTTCGATTCCCTACAAGGTGAAATTGACTTTGTTGCAAGCGGGAGTTACCATATGGGTAACAGCCTTAGCCTATCCGCGTGCTCTCCACCCTAGCTCCTGGGAGGCACATCCTGCGATTTACCTCCTCCACGACGGCTCAGGGCAGGGTCGGTGGGGGCCCTTAAGGTTGGGGTTCAACCTTTTTTTTTTTTTTTTTTTTATACCTTAGTGTAATTTACTGATTTGCCACTACTAAAATTTTGTCATGCCGCCGTCTTTTGAGTTTAAGTTACGGTACTTGTCGGGGTCTCTTCAGCCGTACACGCACTAAAACTTATATAAATACAGAAAATAAAATACGAAAGAGAAAAATAAAATAATTTCTCTCTCCACCTTTCTTTCCGTAGAGGGAGAAGAGAGAGCTCACAGTTCATTTGAATCTATAGAGAGAGAGAAAATTGCTCTAGCGAGAGAAAGTGCGCGTTCTGATTGGCCGTCAATTTGGTGTTCCCGTTCATTTTGTGCAGAAATTGAAGGATTAAAGCTAGGGCTTTTGGAAAATGACGAATCGTTGAGAATTCGAGCTTTGATCTTACTTTTTAGAGGTTAAGAATTGGCGTTTCAAGTTAGTGATGGAAGTGGATTCGGCTATGAGTGGTGAGCCCGATCACGATCCATCGGCCCAGACTAATACAGCCAACGGTCCTGACCAGCCTGCCGAATCCCAATCTCCGTCTGATCAGCACAGTATTAATAATAGTGATAATAGAAATAGTACTAGTAACAGTGGCGGTGGAGCGGTGGTGGTAGGGCCGCGGTGCGCGCCGACTTACAGCTTGGTGAATGCGATAATTGAGCAGAAGGAGGATGGGCCGGGGCCGAGGTGTGGCCACACGTTGACTGCTGTCCAGCCAGTTGGGGAGGAGGGTAGTCCTGGATATATTGGGCCGAGATTGATTCTGTTTGGTGGAGCCACGGCCCTTGAAGGGAATTCCGGGGCCTCAGGAACTCCTTACTCTGCTGGAAGTGCTGGAATTCGTATGTTTCTTTCAAATTTTGAAATCCTCTCCATTTTCTTTTTGAGATTTTTGATTTAGTTAATTCTGATTGTGATGTAGAAAAATGATTTATTAATTGAATTGTCAGTTTAGTTATGTAGAGTTGATTGAAATAACATTTTTGGTATCTTACAGTTGAAATGGATTAAGTGAAGTGCCTAAATTTGGATGCTTTTGCTTGGAATTCTTGGATTTTGGGTTACACACACTTTGCTTTTGTAGTGTGCACGCAAAGTTATTATGTAGTAAAGTTGGAGTTTAGGTGAGGTGTTGTTTTAATTGTTCAAGTAGTTACATGTACAAAGAAAGTTGAGATGAGGATGGGAGTACATTTACTGGTACAGTTTAAGATTCTAGCTTAAATTGTTTGAGGTTTTTGAGATAGTGTTTATCTGATTTCAAGTTTGAAATTTGTGAAAAGTGAATTCTTATCTATCCCTTAATATTGACTTGTAGGAGTTCAAGATATTGAGGGATTTCATGGTTTATCTGTGCTGAAGAGCAGCTTTTTTTGGTTGAAATTCTAGTGAAATCATAGAAAGTGGATCACCCTTTTAATTATTGCTGGAAAATAAAATAGGAATCAAAGTCATTACTTAGGATGATGGTTTCTCCAATTGAGTGGAGCGTGTCTTTTGGCGGATTGTAATTCTAGGGAATGCTCATTAAACTTATTGAAAAGCTGTGCCTAACTGTTTTAAGTTAATAGTTGAAATTGAACTTAAACTCATTATATATCTATGATGTTTGAGAATGTTTTTAATTACAGGGCTTGCTGGGGCTACTGCAGATGTGCATTCTTATGATGTATTGACGAATAAATGGTCTCGGTGAGCTTCAGTTGATAATTTATCTCATTAGAACTCGTAATCTATTTTCTGGTGTAGTGGTTACGTATCTTAGTTTTTTGAATTTTTTGTAACTAGCTTCCGTGCTTTAATTTACTATGTAGACTTACCCCAATTGGAGAGTCACCTACACCAAGGGCTGCTCACGTGGCAACTGCTGTGGGTACTATGGTTGTTATTCAGGTTTGTTGACAGGTGGATTGTATTGAGAATTTCCATTGTATTTTCTTCTAATAATTTATTTTATTTTATTTTTATTTTTCATTTATGATATTTCAATGCTCTTGTCCTTCACAGGGTGGGATTGGTCCGGCCGGTTTGTCCGCAGAAGATCTTCATGTTCTGGACCTCACACAACAAAGGCCGCGATGGCATAGGTTAGCCTCTTTGGAATAGCAAGCATATGCATATTTTGGAGACAAATGCATGAAATGCATTAATAAATACATGAAATGTGCATCTTGCTTTAATAAATGCATGCACATCTTTATTAATATCTTCTTTTAGGGTTGCTGTCCAAGGTCCTGGACCAGGGCCACGCTATGGGCACGTCATGGCTTTGGTGGGTCAAAGATATCTCATGGCAATTGGTGGAAATGATGGTCAGTATAATGCTCCATATCTTCCCTTGTACCGTTTTCTAGATTCAGATAGCAATAATTTTGTGCATGATCTCTAGGAAAACGTGCTTTAGCTGACGTATGGGCATTGGACACTGCTGCCAAGCCATATGAATGGCGAAAACTGGAACCAGAAGGTGAAGGTCCACCTCCATGCATGTAAGTCTCTGCTTATTTCTCTTTAACCTTAGCACTAGGTCTTTCTGCTTCTCTGTTTAGGCAGCATTCCCTTTTTCTTCCACTACATTATCTGCATATAATTTCATTAAAGTTGTCGGAATTTTATTTTATTTTATTTATTTTATTATTATTATTTTTTTTATCCTTTGTCTTCTATTATTACTTCTGAATTTTAGATCACTGAGGAGAGCATAAAGTCAATTGGGAGAACACTTGGACGAATTTACCATTTTTTCCTGTGTAAATATATATTAGAGAATTTGCTTACATGTTTGATTGTAGTTTGCAAATTTTCTGTTGTCATGGATAGTTACCAACCCGAAGAAAATATAAAAATTCTAAATATTCAAATTAAAGGGTGTGTAGATACAATCTAAATCAATAATCAAAGGTCCAACTGATCACCACACCTGTATTATAAATATATAGTTACCCCTAGAACCACACCTGTAACCCAAGTCAATGCGCGAGGTTTTTTAAATCTACCAGCGAGGATCGAGATTATGAACTTGTTCTTTTCATGACCCCTCTTAATTAAGATGAGACAGAAGATCCAATGCTTGGATTAATCCCTTCTTTTTTCTTTTGATATCTTTGGGCCAATTAAACGAATTTTTTATAAATTGGGTAGGGAAGGGGTCAACATTCAAAATTGTAGAGTATGCAAAAGAGCAAACAAAAAGACAAGAAAATAAGGGTAGTGACATGGATCCATAAGAAGCTCAGCATACTCTTGAAATAGCCGAAGCTAATTTGAGAAAATTCGAAATGAATTCAATTCCTAATTTCTTGGAATTAAAGAACTCCAATTTTTTAAGATTTTAATGATATTTTCAACCTTAGAGCATGTAGTAACTCATTTTTCTTTTTTGAGAGAAAGTAACAGTATCTACTCGAACACTACAGTGAAAGTCTGTTTAATCAAGAGAAGAAAGCAAACTACAGAAACAGAAATATCAGTGGAAGTTAACTGGATTTAATATCTTGCTAAACGGATCATCTTATGAAATCAGCCTTTATCTCACAACTTAGCATTTGAATGGATTTCTGTTTCTGTTTTTGGAATATGATGGGATTATAAATTTTTTGGCGGTCTGGATAAAGGCATTAAACTGAATCTTTGGTTTGTAACGGTTTGAGCTTCTCATTATGTGGTCTACTTCATCTACATGCCAAATCAATTTTATATATTCTCCCTTTGGCGTTCAGTTATCTAGTCAATAAAGGGTTTTCATATTTGCAGCTAGTTAGGCCTAAATCAGTTAGCGATGTTACCTAGAAACACAATAACAGCATATGCATATTTCTGGACAAAGCATGTTCTATGGGGAAGTAACTTGTATGTTTTTGTGGGAATTGATGCTCTTCTGATTTGTATGAAAGATCTAATGATGTTTTGCTTCTTTTCAAATAAATAAACATTTAACGAGATCAACACTACCTTTTTTTATTACGTGTATCATGAGCTCACAATTGTCAGCCAATACGATCTGTTTTTTGCTTTTCTCTGTATTTTACAACGTAAAAAGTAGTAAGAAAAAATAGTGAACCCATTTTAGTCCTCTGCTGTTGACTTATAGTTGTATTTACATTTAACATGATCACTTCCACCATTTTCTGTTGTAAGTACTAGATTTACTTTATAAAAATTAATAAAAGTGGAATGTACATGTATACGTGCGATGCTTGCATCCTTGAATATACTGGTGGTTTTATATGTGGTGAAAATAGATAGTTTGTGGATTTTTAGAATTAAAATTTCAGGATTTCACATGAATTGTTTTAAATTTTTAGTAGTACAAGTATTTAGGTCGTGTATTTGAAACTGTGTTGTCTTTTAGGGAGCAATCCTCGGGTCTTTTTATGCTTTGCTAGGTTGGAAAACTTTTATGGGCTCATAACTGGTTCTATTTGACGTGGTAGAAAAATAAAATATTAGATTGACCAAGCTTGGCACCAAGTTGGCTTCTTTATGCGGTTGTTAAATGCTGAATCTTTTTTAATGTACCATTGGCTGACTTTGTTCCTTCATGGTACTTCGTCTCTACATCGACTTTCAAAATAGAAAAATTATATTGAAGTGGTTGATGTGCACATTCACCATCTTCATTAGTAGTCTTCTAATTTTCAATGATTATACTATGAAAATCTTGTCTGTGTTTTTACAAAGTGAAGTTATCTTGATATTTTGCTTGCCCATCACCTTTCCCAGGTATGCAACTGCAAGTGCACGCTCCGATGGTCTTCTTCTTTTATGTGGAGGGAGGGATGCAAGTAGCGTGGTTAGTATGATTTCTGAAATTTTCATGTCATATACCTGGATTCACTTGTCCTTGCTTTATTTAGGTTGCTTTTGAATGTGTGATTCTTTACATTTTCCTCTTCATTTGATGTTTCTATTTGCTAATTTATCATGGGGTACAATATTCCTTCCTATCTAGTGCCTTAAGTCCTAAATTTGGCCTATTTAAATGAAGAGGGAACACTAGTTTCTTTTTTCTTTTTTATGTGTGTAAAATGTATGTAGATGTACACTCATTTCTGTTGACTATGTAATTATCGGAGAGGGGGAGTGTGGTGCCCAGCTAACGTTTTCTGTCTATGCTTCTCTCATGAATATTTTTCTTTTCATGCATTACGATTAGTGGATCTATTTTAGGTGTCACTGGTTAATGCTGAACTTGATGGGCCTTAATGTCAACCTCGTTTTATTCTGAAATTCACCTCATTTTCACGTGTTCCTTAAGAAGCTTTTATTTGATTGCTTGGAAGGGTAATAATGAGCAATAATTGTTCTTCAGGATCCAGCTGTTCAGTTGCTTTAGCTTAGATCTTTGCTTTTATATTTGTTAGTATTTATGGATTCAATTGAAAGCTAAAAGTAGTATATGACAATTACAAAATTTAGTATAGTTATAGCAATAGCAGAATAGAGCACTGAGTTTGTTGCGAAGGCGATAGTTAAGTATTAACTTTAGCAGTTTAGACACTCTTTCCCTAATTATAAAAGTACAAGCACTTGCAAACACTGACACTCGTGCATAAATTACCTGGAAAGGTTGTTCTTGTGACACCTCTAATGTTTGGAAAAATTTTCGGTAAACTGGATAACAATGAAGATGACAATTAACAGAAGAAACGATCAGTCAACACTTTGTCTACGGTCCTTTGTTGACCCATTCTGTTCAAATGTTCTTATGCAGCCGCTGGCAAGTGCACATGGGCTTGCCAAACATAGAGATGGTCGGTGGGAATGGGCCATTGCCCCTGGTGTCTCACCATCTCCCAGATATCAACATGCAGCGGTGAGTTCTTTTATTAATCACTCATCATGACAAACTTCATCTGCGTATAGGACTAAATAAAAATCAAAGAATTCTTCTCTCTGTGGCTAAAACTTATAGTTATATACTGGGATTTCTAGGTTTTTGTTAATGCACGTCTTCATGTATCTGGTGGTGCACTTGGAGGTGGACGCATGGTAGAAGACTCATCAAGTGTGGCTGGTAATGTTCTTTATTTATGTTTTTATAAAGATTTTCTCCTTTCTCCCTTTCATCTACAAAAATTTTGAGTTGTCCTAGAAGAAGATGTGCATTACATCAATATTACGATAATATCTGCATGTTCCTTTTTCTGTGCAGTTCTGGATACTGCAGCAGGAGTTTGGTGTGATACAAAGTCTGTTGTTACGAGTGTGAGGAGTGGCAGATACAGTGCTGATAGGTATGATCACAAGTTTGGAACCTTGATAATATATTTGTTGGCTTGTTAGGATGATGCTATACACTTGTAGTATGTTTTTGGTGTTTTTACACGGTTAATTGATAGCCAAGTTTTTTGAGATTGTGTAGAATTGAGCATTTTTTGAAGATTAACTTAAAAGGAAAGACAGCAGCCAGATTGTTATTTGTCTTGCCTCCTACTAATGGCATGCTGAAAAGTTGGTTTAGACTGTGATCTGCTGTTATCCAAGGCCATCTTCTGGAACATCTTTCTTTGGTTATGTTAAATAAGTCAACTTCCTACATATGTTTGTGTCTTCTGTAGCCCTGCCTTACTATATAACCTATTTCTGTTTCCAACATGAAAATACTAATGATGAATGTCACTTTTTTTAAAGATTTCTGTTGCATACGTACTTTAGGGGTCTAGATCATATATTACCCCCCCCCCCCCCCCACCCCCAATCTCTCTCTCTCTCTCTCTCTCTCTTATTTTTTATTTCTAAAATTGGTTTAGCTTTCTCAAAGTGTATCTTCTGTTGTTATGCGTTGCCACAGGGGTATTGCTTGATGACCTCCTTGTCGCGGAAGACCTTGCTGCTGCTGAAACAACTAATGCAGCTTCTCATGCTGCTGCATCAAATGTGCAGCAAGGGAGGTTACTGGGTAAATATGGTTTTGCAGATGATAGAACAAGGTCATTGGTGCCTGATACAAGTGTTGATGGTGCAGTTGTGGTAGGCAGTCCTGTTGCTCCGCCTGTAAATGGTGATGTGCATACAGACATAAGCACAGAAAATGCAATGCTTCAAGGTTCTCGGTAAGCTTGCTACTAAATACTTGTATAGGTTTATGTTTTGTGGTTTATAAATCGCTTAGTGATTTTGAATGCGTTTGGTTTGTTGTTTTCTAGCTGTTTTTAATTTTCAGTTTCGCAAAACATTGAAAACATGTTTGGTTTGATATTTCTAAAAATGCATTTTGAAAAACAAGGTTAAACTTATAATACAATATTCAAAATGCATTTTTGATGTTTTCAGTGAAAATTCTGAAAACATTCGAAATATAGAAAACAAGAGTTTAATAAATTTTTAAAAAATAAATAAATAAATAAAATTGATAACTTCTAAAAAAATTTTAAAAAAATGAAAAAATAAAATCTAAAATTCTAAAAAAAGAATCTAAAAAAATTCCAAAAATAAACAATAAAATTTCTAAGAAATAAATTATAAAAAATAATTCAAGCTCTTAATGACTATTTACGTAAAACTTCTAAAATAATATTTAAATGAACACATAAAATTATTCTCAATGCAAGTCATTAATTTTTATTTTTATTCCCTATATTTTGAACTCAATTTATAATTATTTTTATTTTACTTTTGTAGCGAGAAAAAAATATTGTAAGATTCACTAACTCTAAAATGTATATATTACTTGATAATATTTTAACATAAAGTTGTTTTATTTTTATCGAATAATCGAATTTCAAATGTGTTTTCTAGTTTTCTGTTTTGAGAAATAATTTTTAAAGAAGACAAAGCAAACATGCTTTTAAAAATCATAAAAACGGATGCTCAAAACAGAAAAATGAAAATGAATTAAAAGCTGAAACCTGAAAACTAAAACACAAACCAAACAAGCCCTTCGCTTTTCAGTTGCTTAACATTCAGATGTTAAATCCGTATGTTTTGCAGAAGACTGAGCAAAGGTATTGATTACTTAGTTGAGGCTGCAGCAGCAGAAGCCGAGGCAATTACTGCTACGTTAGCTGCTGTTAAAGCTAGGCAAGTCAATGAGGAAATTGAGCTGCCCGATAGAGACCGTGGGGCCGAGGCAACCCCTAGCGGAAAACAGATAACTACTTTGATTAAGCCTGATCCTGCAGTATCAGACAGTCCTGCTTCAGCTGGAGTTCGGCTTCATCACCGTGCTGTTAGTATCAGAATAAACAACAAAATTAAGTAAATTTCATTTTCAGTCATATCAAAGTTGTATATTTGTGTCATTATATGCCATCAATACATTTGCAGGTCGTTGTGGCTGCAGAAACTGGTGGGGCTTTAGGTGGCATGGTCAGACAGCTTTCAATCGATCAGTTTGAAAACGAAGGCAGACGAGTCAGTTACGGTACTCCAGAAAGTACAACAGCTGCTAGGAAACTTTTAGATCGACAAATGTCTATTAACAGTGTACCCAAGAAGGTACTCCTTTCCTTCTCCAGAACACAGTAAACTTTATCAAGTACAATTCTTGTGCAGTTTTATAACTTTGTTATTACATAGAAGAACATCAGTGATTCCCGGAGCGAATTGCTAATGACATGCTATGTGCTTTAGTCAAATTGAATAGAATTGCATGCTTCTGCTTTCTTCTTGCATTCTATTGTCCACTGGAGGTTTGCCAATTTGAACTTTGCCATGACGAAATCAAGTGCTTTACACATACTAAAAGTAGAAATCACAATCCCTGAATGTATGGTATTTTAATCAAATGGTTATATTTCTAAGCTATAAAACTTATTTGTTTTATATATTTTTTTCGGTAAGTTTGTAACCAAGCAAACAATAATCTATAGGTAATTAATCTAATTGTTCTGACTATTTGTCTATCGTGATGAGACCATTTTATTTAATGTTGCTTATTGTAAATTGGTTATTTTGAAGTTGTAGCCTCATGGCCAGTCTTCTGCATTCCCAGGTGATTGCTCATCTTCTGAGACCTCGTGGTTGGAAGCCTCCAGTTCGCAGACAGTTTTTCTTGGATTGCAATGAGATAGCAGATCTTTGTGACAGTGCTGAGAGAATATTTGCCAGTGAACCTAGTGTACTACAGCTCAGGGCTCCTATTAAGATATTTGGTGATTTGCATGGGCAATTTGGGGATCTTATGCGCCTTTTTGATGAGTATGGATCCCCTTCAACTGCTGGGGATATAGCGTAAGTTTTCAACCTATAGCATCCTTCTACCAAATGCTTATGCTGTGAGACAGTTCAATTTTTCATGCTAGCATCCATGATGCCTCATATGTTGCTACTTCCGTTTGATGGTCCAGTATTGTCAATAAATGCTTAACTGACCACACAGTTAATAAAGCCGTCATAGAAGTTGCATGATTCTATTGTTCATTGCATGTTCCACCAGATATGCTAATCATTCCCAGTTGGGAATTTTGTGTATGTTGCTGTCCTAAACCTTGTAGTTATCTTAGGTGGTAACTGGTAGTTTGTCCATAATGGTAATCTGGTGGTTTGTACTTGAAGAACCATTATATCATTTGTTGCGGCACTGCAAACTTGCTTGAGACTTATGGCAGCTGCATCTCCTGTTACTTGGGGTCATGCGGCACTTGCTTTCTTAGTCAAAAGGCTCATTGCTTTGCATCATAGAGGGGTGCCCGGAAATAAGAATATGGATGTTAATAAATTGGATTTAAGGCTTTCTAACTGATTTGGACTCTGGCACGGGAGGTCTTTCAAAGAAATTTAGCTTATATTACCCCCAAAATTTGGCTTCTGTTATTATATTTCCTTCTTTCGAATTCATCCTGGGTGAGCGTTTATATTATGTTTGCAGATTTAAGGCTTATTTTTGTCTTCCCTGATTTTGGCTTTCTATTCTGACTGTTGTCTATCTGTTGTTGCCACCTTAAGATGCAATTCTAAAGAATGACACACTCACTTTTCATTGAAGTTTGAGCTATTCAAATATAATTTTAGTCTCTTTTGCCATTAAAGTGTCCATGTTCTAAACTATCTACTGAGAGAGTAGATTATATACCTCCTTGGATCATATGCATCTATGCCCCGTTGCCCCTCTTTTTATTGATTTACACAAGAAGTTGCTTAGATTGACTTTAACTATGTTATTGTTTTAATTGAACTACATTGATTTTAAAGTCTCTTCACCTTCAATGTGATGCTAATTTTGTACATGACTATCAGGTACATTGATTATCTATTCTTGGGGGATTATGTTGATCGTGGCCAGCACAGCTTGGAAACCATAACTCTTCTACTAGCTATGAAGGTACTCCTGTCTGTCAATACAGTCTTATCATTTCTTTTCCCTTCATTGATTCTGAAGTGATCTAATGCATCTTCATCCGAATAAATGCATGTGTAGGTTGAGCATCCTCACCAAATACATTTAATTCGTGGTAATCATGAAGCTGCAGACATCAATGCTCTTTTTGGCTTTCGAATTGAGTGCATTGAACGCATGGTAAATTATCATCAGTTTTACTACTCGTGCTTTTCTATTCTGAAAAATGTAGGGACCTTATAATGATGCCTTGAATAGGGTGAGAGGGATGGAATCTGGGCATGGCATCGTATAAACAGATTGTTCAACTGGCTTCCTCTGGCAGCATTGATAGAGAAAAAAATTCTATGTATGCATGGTGGTATTGGAAGATCAATCAACCATGTAGAACAAATTGAGAATATTCAGCGTCCAATTACTATGGAAGCAGGATCAATTGTTCTTATGGACTTGTTGTGGTTAGTGCATGTCTGTTCTCTCTTTATTTTCATTCTTCTAATTTTCCCAATTTCTGTTCTTACACTCGAATATTTCAATGTAGGTCTGATCCCACAGAAAACGACAGTGTAGAAGGTTTACGACCAAATGCAAGGGGTCCTGGCTTGGTTACCTTTGGGGTGGGCATTTCTCTCATAATCTGTTTTCGACTTCTTCAGTTTTGATTCTCTCTTTAGGATGATGACTGTTTCATTGTTTGGCCCGTTGATTTGTTGAAATAAAATTGATCTTTTCTATCCTGATTTTCCTGTGTGTGCATGCGTGCATTTTGGGGGACGTAGGGGTTAATGTTAATGATGTTCATTTTAATTAGGTACAAATTTGCACTTTCTTAGTCTGCAAATAGGGTCTGCTCTTGTTGCTGAAGGGTTGTGCTTGTTTTAGTCAAGAACAAGTCTATGTCCTAGCTTTTATTGTTTTTTTCTTTTTTATTTAAAAAATTGGTGATCACTTGCCAAAGTAAAGGAGCAGCTAAAAACTTTGCAACTTGAACAACTATGAGAAAGCAATTGAAAGAGCTAATGTGAGTAATGCCGAGAGTGATAGAGGTAGAAGACTACTTTAAAATGGATGAAGGAAACTTGTATTAAGTCTTAAATGAGTACAATTATTTATAGGACAGAAATACATATGAATAATCCTACCTACCAAACTTAAATATATTCTAATCCTATAAACAAGGAAATAAAATATATGTTAACAATAATAGTTTCATAAGATATGGTAGTTAATAATCCTTCAAATCAGCGCCAAATATCTCGGAATCCTCAATACTACCCCTCAAGCTGGATGATACAAGTTAAATAATCCAAGCTTGTCCAACATTTTCTCAAACACAGGTTTAAACAGTCCCTTTGTCAATAAGTTCGCAACCTGTCCAGGTGAAGGCACATACATCAAGCATATAGTTCCATTCTCTATCTTCTTTCTGATGAAATGTCTATCCACCTATACGTGTTTAGTTCTGTCATGATGAACGGGATTACGTGACATTGCAATATCACAGTACACTTCCATGGGCTTATCTCCTGGATACCAAGTTCATCTAACAGTAGCTTCAACCACATTATTTCACAAATTCCATATGCTAGGGCTTTGAATTCAGCCTTTGCACTATTCCTGACCGCAACTGATTGCTTCTTACTTCTCCAAGTGACTAGATTTCCCTACAAAAGGTATAATAGCCAGCTGTAGATCTTCTGTCCATTAGGGATCTTGCCAATCAACATCGGCAAAGGTTTTAATAGATCTTTTTGAAGAAAAGTCCAATTCCAAGAGTCCCTTTTAAATATATCAAAATATGATAAACAGCTTCCATATGCTCCTTAAATGGGGCATGCATGAATTGACTTACAACACTAACTGCAAAGGTTATGTCATCTGGTGTGTGACAAATAGATGAGTTTACCCACTAGACGCTGATATCTTTCTTTATCAATAGGTGTACTTCCTGAGCAATCTCCTAGTTTGTGATTGGGGTTTATAGGTACATCAGCTGGCTTACTTCCCAGTATTCCCATTTCTCTTGAAAGATCCAAGACATACTTTCTCTGTGAGATAGAGATTCCTTACCTGTTCCTAGCGAACTCTAGTCCAAGAAAGTATCTCAAAGGACCTACGTCTTTTATTTCGAATTCGGTCGAAGGAGCTTTCTTCAATCTCTCAATTCTTCATAGTTATCACCTGTCAGGACCATGTCATCTACATAGACTATCAGAATGGTGATTTTACCACCTAAGCATCTGTAGAATAGTGTATGATCAGACTGGGCCTATATGTATCCTAGTTGACATTCAGCTTTCATGAACCTACCAAACCAAGCTCTTGGAGATTACTTTAGCCCATATAAGGATTTTTCTAGTTTGTAGACCTTTCCTTGGATCTTAGCTTCATCAAACTCAAGAGGAAGCTCTATATATACTTCTTCTTCCAAGACCCCATTCAGGAAAGCATATTTTACATCTAGTTGTTGAAGATGCAAGTCTAGATTTGCTGCTAGTGTCAGAAGGGCCCTCACTGTGTTTAATTTTGCAACTGGAGCAAACGTTTCCTGATAGTCAACTCCATAGGTTTGTGACTATCCTGTTGCTACCAACTTGGCTTTATAGCATTCCACAGAACCATTTGATTTGTACTTAACAGAAAAAACCCATTTGCACCCAACCGTTGACTTATTATCAGGTTTCTTTACAATCTGCCATGTTCTATTTTTATTCAAGACTACTATTTCTTCCTCAACTGCTTTTCTCCATATCGGAATTGACAATGCTTTATGAATAGACTTTGATATATCAATTGATGACGTATTAGCAATAAGGGCCCGAATTGATCTTGACAGATGAATGTATCCAATAAAGTTGGAGATAGGATGTTGTGTACAAGATCTGACTCCTTTTTTGAATGCTATAGGAACATCCCAATCATTAGTAGATTCAATTTGCTTGGTAGAGGGATTACCTGAATTCGAAACAGATTCATGATTCTGCGATCGAACTACGAGGGGTTACACTATTTCATGATTTTTGCTCCTTGAATAAACACATAGCTCTGGTGGTCTTGCAAATTGTTGTTCTCCCCATGTCATTGAACTTGTTTGTACAAAGGGATCAACATGTGGTAGATTAGAAAGTGGATATAGATTAGTGGATGGAGAATGTTCTAAGACATCTTTAGTGGGAATTGGGACATCTTGAGTAGGTGACACACGTGACTGTGGTTTAATTTCCCAAAAATTTCCATCATAATTATCATTGTTATTGAGTTCCTCTTCCTGGGGGGAATTTTAGGAAAAATAAGGAAGGGACTCAAAGAATGTGACATCTATAGATATGCAATATTTTTGAGTAATCAAAGAGTAACATTTGTAACCTTTTTGAGTTGGAGAGTAGCCTAAGAATACACATTTTTGAGATTTAGGGTCCAACTTGGTACGTTTATGATCATGGATATGAGTGAATGCAGTACAATCGAACACTTTAAGGGGTATAGAAAGTATAGGTTGGATTTGCGGGTAGACATTTGACAAAACGGTTAGTGGGGTTGTGTAATTATGTATCTGGGTAGGCATTCTGTTTATAAGGTAACATGCAGTAAGGACTGCATCCCCCGAAAATGTTTTGGAACCTTACTGGTAAATATAAATGCTTTAGCAGTTTCAAGTAAGTGGCGGTTCTTTCTTTAGGCAATACTGTTTTGTTGGGGAGTATTTACACACAACTTTGATGTACAATGTCTTTATCAGTGAGAAAGTTTCCCAAGACATGATTGAAGTGTTCGCGGCCATTATCGGTTCGAAAATTTTTTATCCTTGTATCAAACTGGGTTTGAATCATAGAGTGAAATTTTTTAAAAGTTTGTGCAGTTTCAGACTTATCTTTTAATAGGTAAAAACCCAACATACCCTTGTATGATTATTAGTAAAAGTTATGAACCAACGTTTGTCTTTAATGCTCTTAGTACTAGAAGAGCTCCATAAATCACTATGTATTAAAGCGAAGGGTGACAATGATTTTTAATCATGAGAAGGAAATGAAGAATGAGAATGTTTAGCTAGTTGACACACATCACATTGATAATTATCTTTATTGTGAAACAAGGATTGAAATAGATGCTTAAGATATGTAAAATTAGGATGACCGAAACGATGAAGCCACAACGTTACTTCTTGTTCTCTAGGGATAGGATCACAACTTGCAGTTTGAGCTTGTTTATAAGTAGGTGCCTCCAGAAAATAGAATAGCCTCTCACGTTTTTTTGCATTGTCAATCCTCCTCCGAAATCAGGTCTTGAAACAAACACAGTGGCTCAGTAAAGTTCACACTACAATGCAAGTCCTTGGTTAATTTGTTAATAGAAAGCAGATTGCATGAAAGTTCCAAAGATGGACTTAGTCTAATAGTTCCAATTCCAGCGATCGAGGAGAGCGACCCATTTGCTATTTTTACTTAAAAATTTCCTGGGCATGGTGAGTAAGAATGAAACAATTTTCCACATCCTGTCATATTATCCATGGCTCCCGAGTCAATGACCCAATGTTCAGTACTCTGCTTGCCCGTCAATGCTGAAATATAATTACCTTTCTCAGCCAACAGGCTGGAGGATGGCGTTGTACTGGATGTTGGAGTGATCATCTTATACAGTTGCTCGAGTTGGGCTTTGGTGAGGAAGAGCGAAACCTTCTCGGATTGAGTAGTGGGAGGTTCAGCAACACTCTGGAAACTTGAAGTATTACGCATTTGAGGCTCCTCACGGTGAGTCTGAATCTGTCTTCCATCATCATGGGTCACCTGTTTCCGGTTCGGTGGTCTACCATGTAAAACCCAACACCTATCAGTAGAATGGTTTGTCCTCTTACAATGATCACACCATGAATTATTTCTCCTGTTCGTCTTAAGTGTATCCTGTCCGTGTGCAGCTAGTGCCGAGTTCTCCACGGTAAGTTGTCTAGAGTCCCCAAGCATGACCCATCTTCTACTTGCTTCACGTCTTACCTCAACGAAAATTTCATCAATTGCTGGAGAAGGCTTTATACCCGGTAATCTACCTCTTACTTCATCCAATTCAAGTACTAGGCCAGCCAAGAAATCATAAACTCTCTCTTTCTCTACCCTTTTCCTGTATTTTTCAGCGTCCTTAGGTGTGTCCCAATCAATCTGGACGAACATCTCTATATCTCGCCATAGCCTTTGTAATGTATTGTAATATTGTGTGACATCCAGCTCCCCTTGGCGTAAGTTTTTGGCATTATTTCGAAGTTGAAATAGCTGGGCAGAATTCTCCAGGTCTGAGAAGGCGACATTGAGGGCATCCCAACGTTCCTTCGCTGTAGAGTAATAAAGTTATGGTTCCTTAATATCATCTTCAATTGAAGAGAAGAGTTATCAGAGATAGTGGTCATAGGAATCTGAGTAGGTATAGTGGTCATAGGAATCTGAGTAGGTATAATGGGTGCACTTGTAGGGAACGATTCAGCTGTCCCAGTTGAGAGCCCTGAATCCTCGGCCCTGCGTGTACCAGTCATGGCCATTTTGACCATTCCACCTGCTCAAATATACCTCAGCTCTGATACCATAATGCCGAGAGTGATAGAGGAAGAAGACCACAGTAAAAGGGATGAAGGAAACTTATATTAAGTCTTAACCGAGTACAATTATTTATAGGACAGAAATACATGTCAATGATCCTACCTACCAAACTTAAATATATTCTAATCCTATAAACAAGGAAATAAAATATATGTTAACGATAACCTATCAAAAAATATATATATATATGTTAACAATAATAGTTTCATAAGATATGGTAGTCAATAATCCTTCAAATCAGCACCAAATATCTCGGAATATTTAAGAATGAGCTAATGCAAATTCACATAATGCATGCCTTGTGAATTTCTAAGGTCTGTCATCTTATCAGACTTCATTTTTTCTTTAATTTTGGTTCATGTGGACTGAAGAAGCCTCTGAGTAGTTATGGTTAAAGATATTATTCTGATAGTCGGTGATAAAGTTATATTATTTAGCAGGTTCACAAAGGATTTGTGGAGTCTGCCCTGGTTAACTGTTTCTGTTGGGTTTTTTAGTTTGCCCTTATTCCAGTGAGGTTAAATGTGAAGTGATTGAGTTTAGAAGATGAAGAACATGAGTTGGTTTATTTTACCCTTATTCCACATCTTATATCCAAATCAATGTTTTGTTTATAATTATACTTGGACGATTCTGTGCAACGAAGAATTTGTTTAAGTTCTTGCAGTTGTGCAGCTCATCTAAGTTTCTCTATCTTTGCAGCCTGACCGTGTAATGGAATTCTGTAATAACAATGACCTTCAATTGATCGTTCGGGCACATGAATGTGTGATGGATGGATTTGAAAGATTTGCTCAGGGACATCTGATTACTCTCTTTTCAGCCACAAACTACTGTGGTATGACCTAATTTCAGCCACAAACTACTATTGAAATTTTGCTTTCATTTTGAATTCTCTTTAATTTTCTTATTTTAAATCGTTCAGGTACTGCAAATAATGCTGGTGCTATCTTGGTTTTGGGTCGAGATTTAGTGGTTGTGCCAAAACTAATTCATCCACTGCCGCCTGCAATTTCATCTCCAGAAACATCTCCTGAACGCCATATGGAAGACACTTGGATGCAGGTGCTACTGCAACCTCCATCTTTCATTTTCTGATATTCTCCTCTATCCAACAAACATCTTCTCAAATTATGCTGATACTGATCTTGCCTTTTTTATTTTTACTTTTTGTTGTAAAATTAGGAGCTTAATGCTAACAGACCACCTACGCCAACCAGAGGACGTCCTCAAGTTGCTAATGACCGAGGTTCACTTGCTATGATTTAGATTATGATTCCAGATACAGAGTATGTCTAGCTAAGCTTAAAAATAAGTAAAGTTTAACATTTTTTTCCAACCGTGCATGGATAAATTACCTTTTTCTTATTTTTAAGTTAAAAAAGTTGCTTATTTTGAAAGTAAGTCTTATCAAAATTGGTAACTTATTTTAACTTTTGATCAATTAACACAAATTATTTATTTTAAAATTGACTTATTTATTTACAAGCGAACCTTTTAAGCTTAGCCAAACACGCTCATGAGTGTTACACTTCTTCGAGGCTCTTGCTAACACCTGAAATTTGCAGTGATTTGTACATAGCAAGACTTCATGTGGAGGATTCTCCGATTTGTATTGCTTATGGAAATTGCAAGGCTTTGAACCCGTGCTATCATACACATTCTTGATCGGCCATTAAAAGAATACACTAGTTCGTCCGAGCACCATTTTGCATGCAATGAGTTGCCTACTTCATTTGTTGTGCTGAAAGCTGTTTGTCAGGGATGGTGAAAGTTGTACCATTTACATGAGCTTCAGATAAAAGTTGCAGCTTTTCGTCATTTCTTCCCCGTGCAAGTGGTTGGGTATTTCTTTTAATTTCTTTCTTTTCGTTTCTCAGGTTGGTATATTATTTTTATTTATGTTTTAAGAGGACTCAAGGTCCGGTCTGTATAGTTCTTGGTGGAATATATGATTTTGAAATCTTCTTGGATGTGTGTATAATAGAGGGTATCGCTGTGTAATTTTTGTTTCTACTCTATTCGATACAACCTTTCTGTGAAAAGATGAGAAGTCATTTTGTGTTAGGATTAGTAGCTGGTGTCATTAGTCATCTCCGGTGCACTAGTGTGTCTTTATCGTGTACAGAGACACGAAATTTAGATAGTAGAGTGGATTCAACCATCGTGTTGGTGGCTGCTTGTGTGCATGATTATCTGATCAAGTCCATTGTCTTATTTTTCTACTTCTAAATATTTGCCTACGTGTTAGAACACGTCGTGCCAGGCACAGTGTGCGCGCTGGTGTGTATGATTCTAGATTGAGATTCAAATGGACTAGTGCAGCTGTGCTGGACCCAACGCGGCCCACACTTGGCACATGCTAAGTACTATTCTGGCTATCTTGGGTCGTGATGGTCAATGTTGTGGTTCTTCTTCGGTGTAAGCGACCCTTACCTACAACACCAGTGATGAGTTATGTGAATGTTTATTGTCAAACGGTCTCATCTTGGTCGAAAATCTTTAATCCGAGCTCAAGAATACACTAGTCATGTGAAGGATCAAGCTTGAGAGGGTGGACCTTGGTAAAGCTAATCAGGCTGACAACTAATGACTTTGGATCTTACCCAACAAAGACGAGCTCGATAATAAGACGTGAGCCCATGTGGAGCGAACACTGAGATTGATCTTGATTCTAAAAAATAGAAGTGCTTCACCTATTTCGTGATTAAACAAATTAAAATTTGGTTGGAAAGTGTTCGTAAACAATTTAAATTATAAAATAGATGTAAATGATGGGTGGATAACAGTTCAATGGAGGGCAATTGCAAGAACTACATTGCAACATGCGCATTATGTCTAGGCCAATTGGTCAGCATGTCAAGCAGTTTCGTCCTTGGCATGTCCTTCCTTCGACGTCATTTTTCTCTGGGGTATATCATTTTGGCCAAATTTTTAGCTAATCGATCGAAAGGAGGACAATTGCAAGCAAGATGTTGCAGCATGCAAATTATGATTGGGTCAATTGATCGAAACGTAGTGAAGTTTTGTACCCACACGTGCTTTGTCCAACTTAATTTGCTTTGTATGTCTTACTCCATTGTTAGTTCCATCGAAATTGATTCTCACGAAATGTATGAACAAAGAGTTATTTACTCGTCGTTTATAAACTTAGCCAAACATAGATGAATGTTTTTCATCAATTTTAATTTCATCCAAATATTTGCAAATTGAGAATGATTACATTACTTTCCAATTTCGAAAATAAAGTGTATAATAAAGAGCCTGTTTGACAACTATTATTATAGAAAAAAGGTTTTAAATAGTGACTTTCAGGAGACTGTGTGGTTGAAATTTTTTTGATATACACATATAATGTTTTATTGTGTGAATGTATTGTTGAAAATGGTAGCATTTCATCGAATAAATTAATGGGTGTAAAACTGGAACAAAATGTCAATTTATTATACAAAGATGAGTACTTATTGCATCAACACTTGTACATTGAATTAGTATATATACATCAATTTCTCAATCCCCAAAATCCCTCCAGAGCAGATAAATTCACTGACAATCACCTTTGAAAAAGTTCAAAATGAGAAGGTACAGGGATGATTCAGGCGGCGGTCGCGACGCATACGGTAGCGCCGCAGCTCAAATGAATCATCATCAGCAGCAGCAAAACAGGTCTGGGTATTACCAACGGCGCCACCAAGAGCAGCAAGAGAAGGACCCTAATCATCATCATAACCAATGGCGATGGGACAGAGATGGCAGTCACAATAAATTGCCTATGAATTCCATGTCACCCAATGCATCATTCGACGAAGGTAAAATTTCTATTCTGCTTCTTTCAGTTTTTTTCTTTGGATTAAAGTGTAATTTATCGTTGTTTTGTTAAAAAACTTGTTTTGGGAAACGTAGTATAATTTTGTTTGGAAAAGTGTCAGGTCTGCCGCCTGTGTTATAAATGATTTTTTAAAAAAATCATGGGGGGGTTTTGGTGTTTGTTTGGGCTCCTTTTTTTTTTTTTTTTTTTTTTTTTTTTTTTTTTTTTTTTTTTTCAGTTCTTATTGTCCTACGAGCACAGGATTTAAGTTGTAAGAAGAGGAAGCAAAAGTATAATTTGAATTTTGCTAAATAGAATTAACTTGTTATGGTAATTATTTATTCGCATGTTGTTCATGAATCATATGCACAAGCACTTGCTGAAAATATTAATCGATTTTAAAGCACCAAACAGGTTTTGATATTGAAAAGCTAACATGAAGGATTTACTTGAAAGGTATATTATGGGTTCGAAAAAAATTTCATTACCTTTTAGATTGATTTATTTATTTATTTATTTTTTTCCTAGTTGGATCTTTTTTTTTTTTTTTTTTTTCTTGTTGGTTTTTTTTTTTTTTTTTTTCCTTTTCTTTTGCCTAGTTGGATCTTGCATTTGTTTCTTAGTGCACTAAGAATTGCAGAAGATCCAGTCACTTTTAGATCATTTCTTGTAGAACTTTTGGTCATCCCAAGATTAGGACTTCAGTTTATCAATCTTGGCTAGGGGATGAGCCAGATGTTTGCCAGTTAAAGTGGCTTGGGGTAGGCAAAATCTCACCAAGGAGCTATTTGAGATTCTCCTCGTTGGCTTCTTGAAGCCTCATAACACATGGCTAGAAGTCTGAGAGTCCATAGTACCGGCTTAGTCCTTCACTTGAAGAGGCCGTAAATTGGAAGTGGCCTCTAAAGCCTGCCTGCATTCATCCAAAGACAAGGAATGGGGCATATTCGTTTGCGCATCCATGCAGCTTTACACCTGTCTACATCTGGAGCCATTTCCTAGTGGCCCTGCTCACACTCCATGACTGAATCTCATGTAGAACCTTTAACTTCTGGTGTAACAATTGCATAATGTGGGAATAAGACATATCAGCCTAAAATTCAGGATAAATTAACATGACTCCAAATGTCATTATAGAGTTGCACCTTAAAGTTCCTTTCACAAGTTTGGCTATAAATCAATCCATTCAAAGCTTGGAGGAGTCCAAAATGCAGATTATATTAACGAGGACTATATTGTAAATTCAAATGAAGCAGGTCTGACTGGCTTCTGACAGTTGTGCTCAGGTTCTGCTCTATTATTCTTTATAAAGCACTTCGAGTGATTTACGTAGGATGTTTTGTGTTTAAGGAGCCAACATTGCAAATGAACCATATTATACAAGCCTTATTCTTGTTGGCAGCCGTGCTCATTGCTTGTCTGTAGATAAGTAAACGTTTTTATTCTTATTGCCTGTTGGAATTGCATGATCTCAAGATTTTATAAACTTCGTGTAAGATGAAGTTATTTTGATTGTATTTACAATATATTTTGTCTTTAAGACATCTCATGTATCTTAGGCGACTTATTTAAATATTTTTAGAGGGGATCCTGCTTTTAACTTCCTACCACCTTGTCCTCAGTCCGGGCACCTGTTACATGTCTCCAAGCGTGTTTGGAAGCAAAAATATTTTTTTTTTAACAAATGTAGCGTTAAGTTACTTTTGAGCTTGTCAAACATACCGTATTTTTTCAGTTACCAAACTTGACAACAGTGTCGTGATCTTGAATGGTTGAAAAGGTAAGCTCAGAACGGTTTAATTCTGGAAACCAACAGGATACATGAATCATTATTTTGTCTCCTATCCCTCAAGGACCCGCCCACTGCTTGACCGGATCCCCTGAAAATAGTGACGAAAATATTCACACACAAACTCCCTCCCTCTCCCTCTCCCTCTCCCTCTCCCTCTCCCTCTCCCTCTGTCTCTCTCTCTATTGGGTGTTAACTTGAAGATCTTGTGTTATAGGTCAAGGATATCAAGTAGCTAGATCCTATTACCAAGATCAGAGGCCAGATCCTCAGATGTCATTAGAAAAACAAAGTGGCAGTGATCCTAAACATCAGCCTCGTGGAGAGAATATGGACATAGGTTATGAAGATAATCGCATATCACAGACTTTTGATGGTCTTGAGCAGAGATTCCTTGATGACATCATGAAATTGAGTAAGGAACAAACTGATGCTGAGGATGTGGAAAATGCTAGCCATCGGGAGGTTTGTTCATCTTTGTAATCTTTCTATATAATTTCGAGTTGAAATGGTTTTATCATGCAGCTAATTATCGAAGAAAGTATGTTTCATTGTTGCTAAAAAGGCAATAGCATCTAAATTCTCATCTGTTTCTCTTTGTTGTCATTATTTTCGTATATTGGGTAGATGGAAAATAAACAAATTAGGTCAATGAATGTACTTAGCTTGTTTACATAAAGATGTTGGATTCAAGTGAATATTTTCCATAGGTGCATAGTTAATTTTTATGGTCATTCTTTCTAATCGCTTTTTAATAGGAATACAAATTTATAATTTTGCGTGGGTAAAACTAAACTAGTAATAAAATACTTATGTAACGACCATTTTCCTTAGAAATTTTATATCATGTTTGTTTGCACTTAAAATTCGTTTTTAGGAATATTTTAATTTAAATGAAGGCCTGTGTGCTTTGGATCTTGTTAGCACTTCACAATTTTATATGAGTTAATACGTTAGGAATATTATGAAAAAATATTCACCTATCTTTTAACTTTTTGTCACTTGATATAGAACCAATTATATCTTTATCTTCTGAAAGTGACTAAATTAACTAAGATAACCATTAACAAGTGGCAATTAGTTAAAAAGGATAACAAGTATTGTGATTTGTGAGACCTGATAACTGATTTGCCTAATGGTTTGGTCTTGATATACCACCCTTTACGGTTTGGTTTTAGGCATTCACCGACACTACAATTTCTAAATCAATTGTGATTGTATATACAATCTATATTCCAATTTACTGACTATAAAATCAAATCTTAGACATTTTATTCCAGAAATGCCAGTTCTGCTTAATAACATAGCAGGCTATTTGAAACGAAATAATGGATACTTTATGGTGAAATATAGATTGAATAAATTCTTTTCAGGATACAATACCCCAAAGTCGTGGATGGACTCCATGTTGGTACATGGTGTATTAAAAATTAAGGGGCTATTCTCTTTGGCGTTTTCAAGCCGTTTTCTATTTTCGATTTTTCAAAACGTTGAAAACGCGTTCTCCTTCCCATTTTTGAAAACGTGCTTTCCAAAAAAAAAATAAAAAAAAAATAAAAAAAAATTGTGAAGAAAACACAAAACGGGCAAATTGACGTTTTGGACATTTTCTTCACAAAACCCACCAAAACGCGGAAAACGGAGAATCATAGTGACCCATCTCTTGTCTCTCTTCCTTCTTCCTTCTCTCAAGCCATCTCTTTCTTCTCTTTTCTCTGCTCGACGCTGGCGACCGTCTCCATCTCCTCTCCCTTGACGCTGATTGCAAATGCGGGGGAGGTGAGGTTCGTAGCAGCGCGAAGCTGCAGTTCGCCCTCTTTTCGATTTGTGCTTTTGGGGGGTTTTTTGGTTGTTTCGATCTGGCGGCAATGGGCGTTGGTGGTGGCGGCGAGCAGGCGGTAGTGTTCTATTTGTGGTGGTGGTAGTCAACGATGGCGTTGTGGTACGGTGGATGGTGTTGATTTTGGCAGACTGGCAATGGTTGATTTTGGTGAATTGATGGTTCATGGTGGTTGAATTGATGGTTCATAATGGTTGAATTGATTAATTGAATCATGGTCTTCTTCCCTCCTTTGTGTCCCAGTCTTCTTCCCTCTGTGGTTCTTCTTTCTTCGCTGTTTTTGGTGTTTTCTGTGTCGACAGTGGTTGATGGTGGTTGTGGTTGTGGTTGTGGGTGGGGGTGGTGGTGAACTGTGTCGGCAATGGTGATTGGTGGTGGCGATGGTGATTGTGTTGATTTTGGTTGGCAGTGGATTGGAGGTGGTGGCGGCAGCTTTGTGGTAGTTTCTTGAATATTGTAGTATAAAAAAATATTTTCAAAATTTCAAAGCAAACGCGCTTTCCCTTTTTTTGTTTTGGGAAACAGTTTTGCAGAATGACAAAAAGAACACATTTTCAACAATTTCAAAACAGGCACTCAAGATACAAAATCCAAAATGAATTCAAAACTCAAAATACAAAATTGAAACACGAAGAGAACAACCCCTAAATTTTTCATCTTCTAACCATGTCATTAGGATATTTGTCAATAGTTAAATTCGAAACATGCTTCTTCTTATTTATTTATTTATTATTATTATTATTTTTTTTATTGACCGACTTATTTACCTATAAAAAATCGCAATATTAATTTAGTTTACAGACTTGTTCAAGGTGGTTTAATTTTTTGGTACATTTGTAATATTTGCAAATAGAGGAACCATATTCACATTAATTTACAAGTTTGGAGTTGAACAAAATGGTCAGTAGATAAGCAAAAAAAATACCATTATACATGTTCTAACCCTCCAAGCTAAGTCCTGGCTTCATTTCTGATCCTATTGTGGAGTTTCCATGCATTGAAGCTGCTTGAGTGCAGCTGATCTGTGCAGATGACGGAATTTTTACTCTCACCACGTAGTCGATGTCGAACTCTAGTAAAAATTTCGTGTTCGTCACCGTTCTTATTTTGTTTCAAGTCAGTCAATGAACTTACACTTTGTTAATCATTTGATTCAAATGTTTATCACAATTTGGTTATCAGTTATCACGTTCGTGCCGATTAGTTTGACCAACTTTTAAAAGCTGACATAACAGTTTAGTTGTCAGCCTACTTGGCAAATAGCTAGGCTGATACGTCATCTTTTCCGTTTGCAAACTAAGCCCCTGTTTGATGCCCATTACCGAAAAATAAAAATAAGGGGCATAGTATTTTTTAGAAAAATGAGTGGTTGAAAAAGAAGGAAAAGTTTCAATTTACGTGAAATATTATTTTATGGAAGATTGTGTGGTTGAAAATAGGAGAGAGAAAAATGGAATGTAATATAATTTAATTTAATGGGGATCAAACATGGGCTAACAAACATGGATGGAGTGACCAAATTGTCGCAAAACAAAATGAAACTTAACAATCAGTGTATTCAGGATGTTTAAACTTCCTGTTATGATTAGATTATTCAAGGGAAATGTGAACAAAAGATATGCTTTTTGCACTGGAGAAGACATTAAAGCAAAATTTATCAAACACTAAGCATTCTTCTTTTGCTTGGATGCGATATGAGTTGCCTGTCTACCTAGTTTATTAAACTTGTGCTTTTTCAATTTATGATGTGCCTGATCCATTTTTTTGATCAATTTGTATATGGTGTGGAACAGAAAATAAACACAATCAACATACAATATCAAGAGCAGCTAGCTGCTCTTCGAACTCGACATGCCGCTCGAAGGAATGAGTTTCTTCAGAGGGAGTCCCGTGCAAGGCAACAGCAATACCAGCGGGCAGCAATGGACCAATATCGGAACAGTCACATGGGCACTAGTGATCCTCATGGATACAGTGCTAGAACTTCTCCCGCAAGGGATCCACATCGAGTATACAATGCTGATCAATATGATTCTTACAGGGAACAAAGTCGGTTTTCAGGCAGTGCAAGGGATCAGGGATTTGAGCCTAAAGTTCAATACTCGGGAGGCCGGGTTTATGACACTGGTTCCGGCCATTATTGATCAAATCAATCAGGATAGCATCGAAACTTATCTCGATTTTGTGCTCTACATGCCAATCTGTTACTAGTTAGGCTACATGTACTGATATGCTATCTAATATTTTCTTACTTTAAAGTTTTGTTTATTCTTTTCGGACACCACGATTAGTATCTCGGTAATGTACTTTATTTCGTTAGTTATGTCCGTCTTTGCGTTTCGTTGCTCGTAAGTTTCATCGACTTTAGCTTGTTTGAGTTTCAAAGTCTTATTTAAGTTTGAGCCAAACTTAAATGGTTTTTTAGTATTCAAATTGGAACCAAATTTGGATAATAAGTCTTGAGATTTAGTTTGATTTTCTTGAGATGATCAAACAGGTAAAGGGTTTAGGATTATATTGTGGGTTTATAACTAATTGGTACCCTCTTTTTACAAGTCGAATTAAGGGTGAGTTTTATGCATTGTTTGTTACAACTGATATTAATGCAGACAGGCTTGTGGGGATGGCCCTCATTGTGGACTATGGGGGGCTACTTTCAATAGAAGATTAGTTTCGTAAATTAACCTAGTTGAAAATATGGCTATTGTGAACCTCAATTGTAAAAGGAGGGGGTGGAATGTAACTATTTTACATCGTTAGGCTAAAGTTTTGAAATGAGTGGTGAAACAAAGGATGCAAGATTATATTTTACATCGATAGCTAATGTTTAGTTTGTGAGTTTATAATTATCGGTAGTATCTTTTTTTTGGAAGTCGATTTTAAAGACTAATGTAGTTGTTACAATGATCCAACCATGACCAAACAAGCTTTAGTCTAAGCTTATTTTAATTATATGGATATATTGGTTGGAAAAGTGATTTGTAAGTAATCAATTAGGTTTGAACTTTTTGAAAATGAGTTGAAAATAATATATAGTATATTTGAGCTTTTTTTAATAGCATTTTCATAATCTAACAACTTTTCCAGTTGTAACCAAACACCTTTGTAATATATTAAAAGTGATCAATTAGAATAGTCGATAATATGTTGGACTATTTTTTGTTGAGAAGTGATCGAATAGAATAATTGACACTATGTTGGGCCAATTTTTGTTGCTCTTTAGAACTGAATTCACTATTAGTAGAAATTTTTTAACACACTACGAATAAAGATGTTTCCAAAAATTTCGTATCCATATTATTCCAAAAAAAGAGTTCATAATTTACTACGTTACATTATTAAAACCAAAAATACTAGATGACGTATGAAATTTGTTTACATATGCTTCCTTCTAAAAATAGACCATGAGCCACATTCTATATCTGACACTTTTTTAATTCAACATATTTCACGTTCTCCATTAATACCATTTCCTAAATTGAATAAGCAATTCAAGAAATGATGATGGTCAACAGGCAAAAACAATAATTGTCAGTCTGTCGAATAATCATCATGTGATTCCATATGTCATCATAGGCTTCAACATCATTGTGTAAGAGAATCAAATGGCAAACAATTTTTTTTACGGATTTCAGATTGCGCGCACACACACTACTATGAAATAAATTGAATTTCCAAAGAATATAAAAGACAATTATATTGAAGCAAGAACACGAATTTCCATACACAATTTCATGATGTCTTATGAATTTCACATTACCTAAAAATAATAATAATAAATAAATAAATCTAAAACATATCCACTCGCTATATATATCCATCCACACAGAAAATCAAATATTTAGTTAATACACACACACTCTCCCATTAATTTTTAGTTATAAATTATATACAAATTGCTTAGACATGCAACAAAGTCCTAATCAATAGAAAATAAATCAAATGGTTGACATGTGTGATATGGTGTGTGTTATTTTTTGACGATAGATCTATAGAAGAACAAATTGGTGATTAGGTTTAGGGAATTTCTTGGTGGGTGATTCAAGGAGGAGAGAATGTGGTGGAGATTTTGGTTTGAAATACGAAAGGACACAATTTTAGGGATTTTGTGATTAATCTGACATGTTAAGGGCATTTTTGTTGGAACGTAATTTAAAGACGCATTTGTTGGAATAAAATTAGCTAAGTAATGAATGTTATGTATGATTTGGTTGGTTTTTCACATTTCTATTTTATTATATAAAAACAGTATTTATAGTTTTAAAAAAAAAAAGTTGCATAATATATTTTAAATATTTTTAAAAAGTAGGTGTGTGACATAATTTCCTCGACGTGTTTTCATTCCCGCTCTCACTAGAATCAAAGAATGGATCAATCATAACTTATCTTTCAAGATAAAACTTCAAATCATAATATAATATCGACTTAACCGAACCATTTAATTCATTCTAGAGTCAACTCGATAATATTCAAAGAGTACACAACATGATTGAACAAAAAATTCATTGCTCAAAGTATCTTCAAAAAACTCTTTAAATATGATGTGTTCTCTATTTTAAAGAGTCAACTCTTAAAATTATGTTACAAGAGATTTTTTAAATTAATTTAGAGAGTGAGTTTGACTATTTAAATTCACTGTCTATAAATAAATTCATTTTAAGTGTTTCAATTTTCAATGTTTTAAAATGATAAAATAATATAGAGAAAAGTTAGTTAAAATAAAATATAGAGAAACATAATAACTACTTTTTGGGAGTAATAAAATTAAGTGTTAAATATAAAATACTTGTTGGAGTGCTTTAAAATTTTAACTCTATAAAATATACTCTTTAAAAATAAAGCCCCATTCGGTCCCCATTATTTTTTATTACATTACATTTTATTTTCTCTTTCCTATTTACAACCAAACAATCTTCCATAAAAAAATATTACACGTAAATCGAATTTTTTTCTTCTTTTTTAATAACTTATTTTTCAAAAAAATATTATTCCATCTATTTTCGTTACTACAAAATGGATGCCAAACTGGGTAAAAGACTTTTGTGTAAATGTGCTAATATCTCAATACGAACAACCACGCTTTAAACACACTACATGAAAATTAAACAAATGTTTACACACAGTATAGAATAGAGATTCACAGAATTGTGTCAGAATAGAGATGAAGTCGGGTCCCAGACGTGTATAAAAAATGGACCACTCTACATGTATAGGATTTTTTTTTGCCAGATATTTTACAGATACTCACATTAGTGGGGCCCACGTTAATTTTTTATTTTTTTTTATACGTGTGGGGCCCTCGTTGCAGTGAGGGCCCTGTATAAAACATGTAGGAGGGGCTTTTTACATAAAAAATTGGCAACAAAATTACGGCCCCACATGATTGTGTCTTTCCAATAAGAATTCTGTGAGCCAAGCAAAACTCATACATATCAATAGTACGTGCATAAGATTTCTATTCTTGGAAGATCCGCCCAAAAGGATTGTGTGGCCTCCCGCTTGCCACTCCCTTCAGTCCCTTGAGCCGTTGATCACGTTTTTTGTTTCTCTCTCTCTCTCTATAGTAGGCAACTGGTAGTTCTCCCTTCATAGAAAGATTCACACCAAGAATTTATAAAAAAAAAAGGTTGATCCCCAACTTTAAGGCCCCCAGACCCTGTCTTGGGCCATCGTGGAGGAGGTAAATCGCAGGATGTGCCTCCCAGGAGCCAGCGTAGAGAGCACATGGATAGGCCAAGGCTGTTTACCCATATGATAACTCCCGCTTGCAACAAAGCCAATTCCACCTTGGGGGAATCGAACTCTGCACACTGTCGCGCTGAGCCCTATCCACCCTCCCTTTGGCACTGGGAGATATGCCCTGGGGCACACCAAGAATTTATAAGTAGGTGCGTGGTGGTTACTGGTTAGGTAGCAAATGCTAATTCAGTCGGAATTTAACGAGAGTAGGTCTATAAAACAATTAAATCCGTAGTTCAAAAGAGGAAATTATAACTCAGTAGTGTTTATTTTCCGGCAATGAAACTTGCCGGAGTATTCACCGGTGTGTTCCTTTTGGTGGCGATATACTGTGCCGTGGACCCGTACAAGCACAGTGCGATATCTGAATTCCCGGAGTTTGAGGCGTTTAAGATCGAAATGCCGGCGTGGTCTGAAATCCCACTTGAGAAAGACCCTGAAAATTTGTTGCAAAAATCTGAAATCAAGTTCTTGAACCAAGTTCAAGGGCCGGAGAGCATAGCGTTCGACCAGGCCGGCCGCGGCCCATACACTGGGGTGGCTGATGGGAGGGTTGTCTTTTGGGATGGTGTGAAATGGACAGATTTTGCTTACACTTCGGCTAATCGGTGAGAACGCAATTTCTTGATGTGTTTCTTCTTTTCACTTTATGAGACTTGAAATTATATTGTATGAAACATTGTATATGATATTGTTCTCCCTCATAAAAGGCTTTTCTTGTGGACTCCTAAGCACTTTAAGCATCCGAGTTGAGATATGTTGTCCACAATTTGATGCCTGCCTAATATGAATGTCCCGAGCTGTCAAGTGTCAAAAATGTGTTCACGTCTTTCCATTTGTTAACAAGAAGAGATGTCAAAAATGTATTGGAGAGTCAGCAAGTCTCTACTAGTTAATAACCCTCCCTAGCAAGCCGGTTTTTAAGTGTCTAGCTAAAGGGCTAGTAACATATTGGCATAGAGTTTGGCATGGTCGGATATGGCTGCAAAATATTTAATTTCATTATATCTGTAGGTTAGGATATATCAAAAGAAGTGGCGAGGAATAATTTACGTAGCCAAGACCAAATTTATTGTGAATAAGGTTTAGTTTGTTGTCTCGGAGGTGGGAGACCTCTAAATTTTTGAGTATGCAAATATGATCGTCGTTCCAACATTGGAACGTATAATGTGTTTTATAAAGTTTTGTGTTTTTGTGTTGAAGATGGATGAAAATGTAACTAGCATTTTTAAGATAGTGATTCTAGATCGTATTTGCTTTACAACTTCCATTTAAATGTTCAGGTCTGGACTATGTGACCCAAAACCATCGCCCATTGGCTATTTGAAGAACGAGCATATCTGTGGAAGGCCATTGGGTCTAAGATTCGACAAAAGAACTGGTGATTTGTACATTGCAGATGCATATTTGGGGTTGATGAAAGTTGGGCCTGAAGGTGGTTTAGCAACGTCCCTGGCAACTGAGGCCGAAGGAATTCCTCTCGGGTTTACTAATGACTTGGACATTGACGATGAAGGGAATGTCTATTTTACCGATAGCAGCACCAAATTCCAAAGAAGGTAGCTTAAGGTTTTATGTGTTTGGCTAAGCTTAAAAAAGAAGAGTATGTGACTTCTTGTTTTCATACACGTTTAGATAAGTTATCTTTTCATTTATTTTAATTGAAAAAATAGTTATTTAGCTTCAAGTAACTCTTACCTGTTAGTGTATTGTCAATAAGCAAAGTGTCTTGTTGCTGACAAAGTGTTGTTTGTATTGAATATGTGAGTTCTGTGGGTCGATTAGAAGGAAGAGTGGAGAAATCGTAACTTCAATCTTGGTTGAAATTTTTGTGGGAAAAAGCATAGGCAAGTATATTAGAATATAAGATCTTCATGCAAAAAACCAGTTATGGTACTTTCAACTGTATCTCCGCACGCGATGCTCCATGCACATATATATTCGCATCGTTTGTCGTAGAATTGTAAGATCAGAATCAGTGTCTATAGTTCTCACACTTCACTTGTTTCAGGAACTTCATGCAGTTGGTTTTTTCTGGAGAAGATAGTGGGAGAATGCTGAAGTACAATCCCAAGACAAAAGAGACTACTATTCTTGTTCGGAATCTCCAGTTTCCAAATGGTGTGTCCCTAAGTAAAGACGGATCGTTTCTTGTGTTCTGTGAGGGTTCAATTGGCAGGTACTCATATATCTTTAATACAAACATTGTTCATGAAATTCTCACTCCCCACCTCCCACCCTCTCTTCAAGGAGAAAATAAGTAAAAAAAAGAAAACCTTCGGATTTCCGCAACTTTTTTTCTGGAATTTATGAATACGTCTCAAGCGGCAAAAAATGTGTGTTTGAAATACTCGTTTTAGGACTCTGTTAATGGTAACATACCGACACACGATGCCTTGAACAACAGGTTCTATCTAAGAATTTGATGAGTCTCTTCACGAGCCGAAATGGAAAGGAAACAACAGTTTTCTGTTATTAGAGTGGTAAAATTTGCAGCAAAGATTGTTTATCTAGATAATAGCATTTAAGAACATGGACAATAATACGAAAGAAGAAGAAAAAAAAGCTAAAATCTGATTTGTTGTACTCATGAGTAATGTACGATATTGTTAACCAAATGTGCACTAACTTTATTAAAATATCTGTCCTCCAATTATGTAGGTTGCGGAAGTATTGGTTGAAAGGTGAAAAGGTCCACACCTCTGAAACAATGGCCGTGTTGCCTGGATCTCCCGATAATGTCAGAACAAATGAAAAGGGTGAATTTTGGGTTGCAATCCATTGTCGTCGATCTATATTCGCTTATCTATCCGCTCTATACCCGAAAGTCCGGAAATTCTTGCTAAAGCTTCCAATAGCTGCAAAGATCCATTATCTCATGACAATCGGAGGGCGCCTTCATGCCGTTGTAGTGAAGTATAGTCCAGAAGGTAAGCTTTTAAAGATTTTGGAGGACAGGCAAGGGAAAGTTGTTAAAGCAGTAAGTGAGGTGGAGGAGAGGAATGGGAAGCTTTGGATGGGGAGTGTTTTGATGCCATTTATTGCAGTTTATGAATTAGACTACGGCCCCGTTTGATTGAGGATATTTCCCTGGATTTCCATTTTCCAAATTTTGTATTGTTTGATAACAAAAGTTTTCCATGAATTCATTTTCCACTTTTTCCCCTCATAGGTGCAATTTCCATGAATTGTTGGAAAATTAATTTTCACCAAAACGGTGAGAATTGGTTTTCCAAGCTTTTTTATTTTATTACTCATATTTTTTTTATTTTTATAGCAGTGGAAACAAATTTTATCAATAATTGTAAAAAAATTTATCTCTTTAATTGACAATTTTCATAAAAAAAAAAAAAGTCAAACGAATATCAAAAGATCCAAAATTTCAATATTTTTTAAATGAAAAATTATACAAATCAAACACATTAATTGACAATTCATAGGAAAACAAGTTTTAGACAATTCGATTCCTTGAAATTCGTTTTCTTTCTACCCAAATTTCCTCATTGCAATCAAACGGACCCAAGTATTTAAGATTATAAGACTTTATGTTCTTAATTCTTATTTTGAGTGGAAAGCTCATAT